GGCCTCGCCTGCAGCCTCCTCGTCTTCATCCCTGTTGCTGCAGAGACCACAGAGATCCTGCCTCGTCTTCCTCCCTGTTGCTGCAGAGACCACAGAGATCCTGCCTCGTCTTCATCACTGTTGCTGCAGAGACCACAGGGATTAAAAAGAAACTAGTTCTAAACCTGAAGAAACATTAGAGAAATGGACAAGGGGATGATAAGTGGCTTCAGCAGCAGGTGAAAGTCAGATCCTGTCACATCTCTGAAGCTAAGCAGGGCAGGGCCTGGTTAGTACTGTGGTTGTTCATTGTTAATGAATGATCTCGGCCCCAGGATGATATTTGGTTAGTATCAGAACCTCCTAGTATCAGAACCTCCTAGTATCAGAACCTCCTAGTATCAGACCCATCCGCACAGAGACAAAAGAAAAGACTGGATTATTAATTTAATCATTAAATAAGATAAGGTTGTATTTGGTTTTGACATCGTTTTGTCTCTATTCCTATGTCTCTATTGTGTAGTTGGTGTGTAGTATAGTGTGTAGTTAGTGTGTAGTATAGTGTGTAGTATAGTGTTGTATTGTGTGTAGTTTGAGTGTTGTATAGTATGTGTAGTAGTATAGTGTGTGTAGTATAGTGTGTAGTATAGTGTGTGTAGTATAGTGTGTGTAGTATAGTGTGTAGTACAGTGTGTAGTATAGTGTGTAGTACAGTGTGTAGTATAGTGTGTAGTATAGTAAGTAAGTAAGTAGTAAGTAATCTTTATTTATATACCGCCTTTTCACTGCACATCGGAGTCTCAAAGCGGTTTACAATTGTTATTTTTTGGGAGTGGGGGTGCCAGTACAGGAGGCACATGCCAGACCTATTGTACATATTTTTAGTGGTAGGGGAAACCGGAGCACCCGGAGGAAACCTACACAGACACGGGGAGAACATGCAAACTCCACTCAGAAAGGCCCTGGTCCAACCGGGATTTGAACCCAGGACCTTCTTGCTGAGAGGCGAGAGTGCTATCCACTCAGCCACCGTGCCGTGCGTGGATAGCACCTGAGTGCTATCCACTCAGCCACCGTGCAGTATAGTGTGTGTAGTATAGTGTGTAGTATAGTGTGTGTAATATAGTTTGTGTAGTATAGTGTGTAGTACAGTGTGTAGTATAGTGTGTAGTACAGTGTGTAGTATAGTGTGTGTAGTACAGTGTGTGTAGTATAGTGTGTAGTATAGTGTGTGTAGTATAGTGTGTAGTACAGTGTGGACATGAAGCCTAGCACTTGCATGTATAATCCTTCCTTTTGGCCCCAGTGGGCTCCGGGCCCCGGGGCCTGAGCTCTGTCCTCTGTCCTGAAGCGTCTGGATAATAATGTGGTGGGATTAAAGATTAATGTTTTCATCAGTTTCATTGTTCCTCCTGATGGTTCTAACCATCACTGACCCACATGGTTATAACCCTCACTGATCCACATGGTTCTAACCATCACTGACCCACATGGTTATAACCATCACTGACCCACATGGTTCTTACCATCACTGACCCACATGGTTATAACCATCACTGACCCACATGGTTCTAACCATCACTGACCCACATGGTTCTTACCATCACTGACCCACATGGTTATAACCATCACTGACCCACATGGTTCTAACCATCACTGACCCACATGGTTCTTACCATCACTGACCCACATGGTTATAACCATCACTGACCCACATGGTTATAACCATCACTGACCCACATGGTTCTAACCATCACTGACCCACATGGTTATAACCATCACTGACCCACATGGTTCTAACAATCACTGACCCACATGGTTATAACCTCACTGATCCACATGGTTCTTACCATCACTGACCCACATGGTTATAACCATCACTGATCCACATGGTTCTTACCATCACTGATCCACATGGTCCAACAGTTAGCCCCTGAGTCTGATCCACATGGTCCAGGTCCAACAGTTAGTCCCTGAGTCTGACCCACATGGTTCACATGGTTCAGGTCCAACCGTTAGTCCCTGAGTCTGATCCACATGGTTCACATGGTCCAGGTCCACATGGTCCAGGTCCAACAGTCAGACCTGTTCCATAATCCCACAGACCTGAACCTCAGACCTGCCCCATAATCCCACAGACCTGAGCATCAGACCTGTCCCATAATCCCACAGACCTGAACATCAGACCTGTTCCATAATCCCACAGACCTGAACCTCAGACCTGTTCCATAATCCCACAGACCTGAGCATCAGACCTGTTCCATAATCCCACAGACCTGAACCTCAGACCTGTACCATAATCCCACAGACCTGAACATCAGACCTGTTCCATAATCTCACAGACCTGAACATCAGACCTGTTCCATAATCCCACAGACCTGAACATTAGACCTGTTCCATAATCCCACAGACCTGAACATCAGACCTGTCCCATAGTCCCACAGACCTGAGCATCAGACCTGTTCCATAATCCCACAGACCTGAGCATCAGACCTGTTCCATAATCCCACAGACCTTAGCATCAGACCTGTTCCATAATCCCACAGAATTGAACATCAGACCTGTTCCATAATCCCACAGACATGAGCATCAGACCTGTTCCATAACCCCACAGACCTGAACATCAGACCTGTTCCATAATCCCACAAACCTGAACCTCAGACCTGTTCCATAATCCCACAGACCTGAACATCAGACCTGTCCCATAATCCCACAGACCTGAGTATCAGACCTGTTCCATAATCCCACAGACCTGAGCATCAGACCTGTTCCATAATCCCACAGACCTGAACATCAGACCTGTTCCATAATCCCACAGACCTGAACATCAGACCTGTCCCATAATCCCACCGACCTGAGCATCAGACCTGTTCCATAATCCCACAGACCTGAGCATCAGACCTGTTCCATAATCCCACAGACCTTAGCATCAGACCTGTTCCATAATCCCACAGAATTGAACATCAGACCTGTTCCATAATCCCACAGACATGAGCATCAGACCTGTTCCATAATCCCACAGACCTGAACATCAGACCTGTTCCATAATCCCACAGACCTGAACCTCAGACCTGTTCCATAATCCCACAGACCTGAACATCAGACCTGTCCCATAATCCCACAGACCTGAGCATCAGACCTGTTCCATAATCCCACAGACCTGAGCATCAGACCTGTTCCATAATCCCACAGACCTGAACATCAGACCTGTTCCATAATCCCACAGTCTGAACATCAGACCTGTTCCATAATCCCACAGACCTGAACATCAGACCTGTTCCATAATCCCACAGACCTGAACATCAGACCTGTTCCATAATCCCACAGACCTGAACATCAGACCTGTCCCATAATCCCACAGACCTGAACATCAGACCTGTTCCATAATCCCACAGACCTGAACATCAGACCTGTTCCATAATCCCACAGACCTGAACATCAGACCTGTTCCATAATCCCACAGACCTGAACATCAGACCTGTTCCATAATCCCACAGACCTGAACATCAGACCTGTCCCATAATCCCACAGACCTGAACATCAGACCTGTTCCATAATCCCACAGACCTGAACATCAGACCTGTTCCATAATCCCACAGACCTGAACATCAGACCTGTCCCATAATCCCACAGACCTGAACATCAGACCTGTTCCATAATCCCACAGACATGAGCATCAGACCTGTTCCATAACCCCACAGACCTGAACATCAGACCTGTTCCATAATCCCACAAACCTGAACCTCAGACCTGTTCCATAATCCCACAGACCTGAACATCAGACCTGTCCCATAATCCCACAGACCTGAGTATCAGACCTGTTCCATAATCCCACAGACCTGAGCATCAGACCTGTTCCATAATCCCACAGACCTGAACATCAGACCTGTTCCATAATCCCACAGACCTGAACATCAGACCTGTCCCATAATCCCACCGACCTGAGCATCAGACCTGTTCCATAATCCCACAGACCTGAGCATCAGACCTGTTCCATAATCCCACAGACCTTAGCATCAGACCTGTTCCATAATCCCACAGAATTGAACATCAGACCTGTTCCATAATCCCACAGACATGAGCATCAGACCTGTTCCATAATCCCACAGACCTGAACATCAGACCTGTTCCATAATCCCACAGACCTGAACCTCAGACCTGTTCCATAATCCCACAGACCTGAACATCAGACCTGTCCCATAATCCCACAGACCTGAGCATCAGACCTGTTCCATAATCCCACAGACCTGAGCATCAGACCTGTTCCATAATCCCACAGACCTGAACATCAGACCTGTTCCATAATCCCACAGTCTGAACATCAGACCTGTTCCATAATCCCACAGACCTGAACATCAGACCTGTTCCATAATCCCACAGACCTGAACATCAGACCTGTTCCATAATCCCACAGACCTGAACATCAGACCTGTCCCATAATCCCACAGACCTGAACATCAGACCTGTTCCATAATCCCACAGACCTGAACATCAGACCTGTTCCATAATCCCACAGACCTGAACATCAGACCTGTTCCATAATCCCACAGACCTGAACATCAGACCTGTTCCATAATCCCACAGACCTGAACATCAGACCTGTCCCATAATCCCACAGACCTGAACATCAGACCTGTTCCATAATCCCACAGACCTGAACATCAGACCTGTTCCATAATCCCACAGACCTGAACATCAGACCTGTTCCATAATCCCACTAAAAGTAAACTAAACTAAACGGTGGAGGACCTCAGTGAAGCCTCCGGACACAAATCCACAGCATTGAAGCAGGAGATATTTCTGTTTCTGAAACCGTGTGCGAAGCTAATCCACCTCCAGCCGCAGAGCCATCCATCACCTGCTCCTGGCAACAACACCGCCGCCGCCGCCACCGCCGCCACCGCCGCCACCGCCATATTGATTCAGACGGCGATGCTTTTAGCCTCACGTTTTACTAATTTTTGATGAAAGCAAAGCAGGAAAAGAAAGCAGAAAGAATTGCACTGTTACAAAGAGTTATTGACGAGATGGAGCAGTGTTTATGGCTCAAGGAAGTGCTCATGGACAGAGTTTGGCTCCATATTTCTCTGGATCCTGTTGACTTCTGTGTAAATTGTATTATTTTGCACAAGTACTGACGTTAAGTTTAATCTTTTCATTTCTTTACTTTTACTCTCAATGTGGACACTGACATGTTTGAAGTGGTTAGCCATGCTTCTAAGTTCCGTATTTTGGAAACTGTTTCTTTATGTGTAAAATCTACTGTCACATATTTACTTTGGGACATTTTATAAATGCGACATTAGAGAGAATATGTCAAACACCACAGCTATTGTAATTTGTTTAGGAATAATACTTTTACTGATGCATCATCAGTGGAAATACTTTTGGAACCAGACGAAAAGATCATTTGTAAATCCGGAAATCTGACCTTTACCAGAAACCCCTGAAACAAACCTGTGGAAATGTGGATTTAATTATTCACAAATCTCACATTAGAACCCGGAGATTTGGAAGCTGTCAATCTCAGACGTCATACCTGTGTTCACCTGAAGGAGGCGCTGTGGTCTCAGACGTCATACCTGCGGTCACCTGAAGGAGGCGCTGTGGTCTGAGACGTCATACCTGCGCTCACCTGAAGGAGGCGCTGTGGTCTCAGACATCATACCTGTGTTCACCTGAAGGAGGCGCTGTGGTCTCAGACGTCATACCGGCGCTCACCTGAAGGAGGCGCTGTGGTCTCAGACGTCATACCTGCGCTCACCTGAAGAAGGCGCTGTGGTCTCAGACGTCATACCTGCGCTCACCTGAAGGAGGCGCTGTGGTCTCAGACGTCATACCTGCGCTCACCTGAAGGAGGCGCTGTGGTCTCAGACGTCATACCTGTGTTCACCTGAAGGAGGTGCTGTGGTCTCAGACGTCATACCTGTGTTCACCTGAAGGAGGCGCTGTGATCTCAGACGTCATACCTACGCTCACCTGAAGGAGGCGCTGTGGTCTCAGACGTCATACCGGCGCTCACCTGAAGGAGGCGCTGTGGTCTCAGACGTCATACCTGTGTTCACCTGAAGGAGGTGCTGTGGTCTCAGACGTCATACCTGCGCTCACCTGAAGGAGGCGCTGTGGTCTCAGACGTCATACCTGCGCTCACCTGAAGGAGGCGCTGTGGTCTCAGACGTCATACCTGTGTTCACCTGAAGGAGGTGCTGTGGTCTCAGACGTCATACCTGTGTTCACCTGAAGGAGGCGCTGTGATCTCAGACGTCATACCTACGCTCACCTGAAGGAGGCGCTGTGGTCTCAGACGTCATACCGGCGCTCACCTGAAGGAGGCGCTGTGGTCTCAGACGTCATACCTGTGTTCACCTGAAGGAGGTGCTGTGGTCTCAGACGTCATACCTGCGCTCACCTGAAGGAGGCGCTGTGGTCTCAGACGTCATACCTGCGCTCACCTGAAGGAGGCGCTGTGGTCTCTGACGTCATACCTGCGCTCACCTGAAGGAGGCGCTGTGGTCTCAGACGTCATACCTGCGTTCACCTGAAGGAGGCGCTGTGGTCTCAGACGTCATACCTGCGCTCACCTGAAGGAGGCGCTGTGGTCTCAGACGTCATACCTGTGTTCACCTGAAGGAGGCGCTGTGGTCTCAGACGTCATACCTGTGTTCACCTGAACGAGGCGCTGTGGTCTCAGACGTCATACCTGTGTTCACCTGAAGGAGGCGCTGTGGTCTCAAACGTCATACCTGCGCTCACCTGAAGGAGGCGCTGTGGTCTCAGACGTCATACCTGTGTTCACCTGAAGGAGGTGCTGTGGTCTCAGACGTCATACCTGCGCTCACCTGAAGGAGGCGCTGTGGTCTCAGACGTCATACCTGCGCTCACCTGAAGGAGGCGCTGTGGTCTCAGACGTCATACCTGCGCTCACCTGAAGGAGGCGCTGTGGTCTCTGACGTCATACCTGCGCCGAGGCTATAATGACTTTGAGACAATAAGAAGCATTAAACTGTTGAATGAGACACATTTAACACATTTATTCAGAATTAAAGTGACTCACACTGAACTAAACCGTGCTGTGCCAGGTCAGAAAAAACTACTATTTCATGTTGTAAAAGCTGAATGGGGGCTCTGTCAGTGTGCCCCAGGGCAGCTGTGGCTACAGTTTATCACCACTGAGTTTGGAGAGACTATAGTGATGTGAAGAGACTTTGAGAGTCTGAAAAGTTCTACTTAAAACAAAAGCATTATTATTATGAATATTAAAATCTTATAAAGCACTGATTGTGTTTTCTAGAATCCTCCAGTTGGACGTCTTACATGAGGTTTCATGTTCCTCTGAGAGTAACCATGGATCAGAGTAATGTGAGTAATAACGCTCTGGTTATGGCCCTACCAAGACCTTTCACTGGTGCTTTTAATAAACTCTCACTCCTCCCTCTGTTCTCATCAGTGTCAGCGCTGCACGGAGAAATACAGACCAAAACAGGCCAATACAGGCCAAAACAGGCCCATACAGACCAAAACAGGCCAGTACAGGCCAATACAGTCAAATACAGGCCATCACAGTCCAATACAGTCCAATACAGTCCAATACAGTCCAATACAGGCCAATACAGGCCAATACAGGCCAATACAGTCCAATACAGTCCCATACAGGCCAATACAGGCCAATACAGTCCAATACAGGCCAATACAGGCCAATACAGTCAAATACAGCGCAATAGTTCAATACAGGCCAATACAGTCCAATACAGGCCAATACAGGCCAATACAGTCAAATACAGGCCAATACAGGCCATTACAGTCCAATACAGTCCAATACAGTCCAATACAGGCCAATACAGGCCAATACAGTCAAATACAGGCCAATACAGGCCAATACAGTCCAATACAGGCCAATACAGGCCAATACAGTCCAATACAGGCCAATACAGTCAAATACAGTCCAACACAGTCCAACACAGGCCAATACAGGCCAATACAGTCCAATACAGTCCAACACAGTCCAATACAGGCCAATACAGGCCAATACAGGCCAATACAGTCAAATACAGTCCAACACAGTCCAACACAGTCCAATACAGGCCAATACAGGCCAATACAGTCCAATACAGTCCAACACAGTCCAACACAGGCCAATACAGGCCAATACAGGCAAATACAGTCCAATACAGTCCAACACAGTCCAATACAGGCCATCCATCCATCCATCTTCTTCCCCTTCATCCATTTCTGGGTCGGGGGGGTGGCAGTCAGAGCTGCACCCAATTCACTTAGCACCAGCCCCTCACTGATCCTCTGCAGGTGGTGAGTCCACAGAAGGGCCAATACAGGCCAATACAGGCCAATACAGTCCAATACAGGCCAATACACTCCAATACAGAAGAGTAGGGTAGGGTAAGGTAGGATAGAGTAAGGTAGAGTAGGGTAGGGTAGGGTAGGGTAGCGTAGAGTAGGGTAGGGTAGGGTAGGGTGAGGTAAGGTAGAGTAGGGTATAGTAGGGTAGGGTAGGGTAGGTTAGAGTAGAGTAGGGTAGAGTAGAGTAGGGTAGGGTAGAGTAGGGTAAATAATAACACAGTTCCAAGTCAAGAACCCAAATATACACTCAAACACACGACCCAAAGATTGAAGACTCTCTCAGGACAGTCTGTGCACAGTTTGCTTATTCTCTTAATGTCTGTGTAGGTTTTCTCCAGGTGCTCCGGGTTTCCCAAACACTATAAACATGTACCACAGGTCTGGGTGTCATGAGTGAACGGCTTCAGGACGGTGCGGCCTCACTCTGAGTGGACTGAATAGATACGACACTGTACAAAGCACGGGCCTTGGTCTGTCAAAGGCGCTGTATAAATAAACATTACTGCCTCACTGCTGAGGTCAGAGGTCACAGAGGACTATAATGAACAGGAGTTATCTCAGAGGACTTCACACTGAATTCACCAACACAGATTAGAGAATTATATTATGTCAGACCACTGAAGCTAAGCAGGGCAGGGCCTGGCCAGTACTGTGATGGGAGACCTCTGGGAACAGCAGGTGACACAGTGGGGAGGCTGCGGCTGTAAAGTGTCAAACTGTGGTTGTGTCCTTAGGCAAGACACTTCCCCCACATTAGAATGAGTCTGGTGTGTGTGTGAATGGTTGGTGGTGGTGGGAGGGGCCAATGGCACAGACTGGTTGCCTCGCTTCTGTCAGTGTGCCCCAGGGCAGCTGTGGCTACAGTAGTTTATCACCACCGTGTTTGGAGAGAGAGAATAATCTCAGTGATTTAAATCTGCAGACTTTGCTCAGATCAGATACAGTTAGATCCATCTGTTTAAATGTGTTTATTTACTGTACACTGTGGAGAACAAGTGTCCTCCTCCATGCTGATACAGAAGTTACATAGTGCAGCTTTAAACAGAATCAGTGCTGTGTGGATGAGGAGCCAGAAGCCCTCAGGGGCCCTCAGCTGTGGATTTATAATGATCTACTTTACAACCAGGACCAGAGCCTTAAACCTGAGACTGCCACACACTCTGAGTCTGTTTGACTGAAGCTGTCTCTGGAAATGAAGCTGAGTCGGTCCGGTCCACATTTTCCTCTTTCCCGGTCCTCCTGCCTCTGCTCACCTGGATCTCATCAGGTCATCACTGCAGAACAAGAGGAGCAGCTCTGCAGACACTCATCGCCCGTTTGTTTGTCTACTTACATACAGTGCCTTGCGAAAGTATTCGGCCCCCTTGAACCTTTCCACATTTCGCCACATTTCAGGCTTCAAACATAAAGATATCAAATGTTTTATTTTTTGTCATGAATGAACAACAAGTGGGACACAATCGTGAAGTGGAACGAAATTTATTGGATAATTTAAACTTTTTTAACAAATAAAAAACTGAAAAGTGGGGCGTGCAATATTATTGGGCCCCTTTACTTTCAGTGCAGCAAACTCAGTCCAGAAGTTCAGTGAGGATCTTTGAATGATCCAATGTTGTCCTAAATGACTGATGATGATAAATAGAATGCACCTGTGTGTAATCAAGTCTCCGTATAAATGCATCTGCTCTTTGATAGTCTCAGGGTTCTGTTTAAAGCTCAGAGAGAACCATGAAGACAAAGGAACACACCAGGCAGGTCCGAGATACTGTTGTGGAGAAGTTTAAAGCCGGATTTGGATACAAAAAGATTTCCCAAGCTTTAAAAGTCTCAAGGAGCACTGTGCAAGCAATTATATTGAAATGGAAGGAGTATCAGACCACTGCAAATCTACCAAGACCCGGCCGTCCCTCCAAACTTTCATCTCAAACAAGGAGAAGACTGATCAGAGATGCAGCCAAGAGGCCCATGATCACTCTGGATGAACTGCAGATAACTACAGCTGAGGTGGGGATGGTGTGTTCAGGGTGATGAGCGGTGTTGCTTTTACGCCAAACATATCGTTTTGCATTGTGGCCAAAAAGTTTGATTTTGGTTTCATCTGACCAGAGCACCTTCTTCCACATGTTTGGTGTGTCTCCCAGGTGGCTTGTGGCAAACTTTAAACCAGACTTTTTATGGATATCTTTGAGAAATGGCTTTCTTCTTGCCACTCTTCCATAAAGGCCAGATTTGTGCAGTGCACGACTGATTGTTGTCCTATGGACAGACTCTCCCACCTCAGCTGTAGTTATCTGCAGTTCATCCAGAGTGATCATGGGCCTCTTGGCTGCATCTCTGATCAGTCTTCTCGTTTGAGATGAAAGTTTGGAGGGACGGCCGGGTCTTGGTAGCTTTGCAGTGGTCTGATACTCCTTCCATTTCAATATAATATCTCCATATGTTTGAAGCCTGAAATGTGGCAAAATGTTGAAGGGGGCCGAATACATTCGCAAGGCACTGTATGTCAGTAGTGCCATTTGCTACATTTTACGTCTGTCTGTCTGTAATATAATATTGTCTGCACTCTGTGTCCCTTTCTCCAATTGCGACACATACTGCAGTATGAAGTACTTACAGTATAAAGTACTGCTGCTAAAACACAGTTAGGATGGGTGTGTTTGTGTGTGTGTGGGAAGTGAAGATGGGAGACCGCCTGAACTCTTTAATCTTAGCTGTTTCACTGCAGCTGCTTGGTTCAGACAAGGCCAACAGAACTACTTTATCTATTTTAATATTTAAACATATAAACATGGTCCTGGACTCACTGGAAAACTCCAGCCCCAGAACAGAGGCAGGAAGTGATCAGCAGAGGCAGGAAGTGATTCAGACTGTCAGTCAAGCTGCATAGGGAGCCCCCTGCTGGAGAAGTATGGTAACTTGAGCACTATCCTCTCCTCCTTCCTACTTTATCTGTTTAGCATTTTTAGGATTCTGACTGTAGTTTGTTCATTGCTATTCACCCGTTGTCCCATTGTCTGTTTCATGGTACGATGACGGGATCTCTGAGCCTGGCCTCCTCCATCTACACCTGCGGACTGCCCCGCCCGACCCGCCTGGGAGTGCTTCAGTCCTGCACCGGACCTGTCCACGTTCAGCGGCCACTGGTCCACGTTCTGTAGCTAGCTTAGGTCCTAGATCATTAGCCTGTCCGTCCGGAGGAGCGGATCCCTTTCTCATATGGGTCTCCCTCCCTGTGGGTTTCCCTAGTTCTCCCCAAGGTTTCTCACTTTTTCCCACTGGGTTTTTTAAGAGTTGTTCCTTGTGGATGCAGGAGGGTCTTGTTGGACAGTTAGTGTCCAACAGAAAGGATTGGTGATGATCAGGACACTTTAGCATTCTACAACATGTATGGACATTTTCTTCTGTGTGTGCTTTATATTCTTCATGTGTTTTAACTGTTGATTCTCTGACCTGTGTTGGTGATTTCAATGGTTTTGTTAAGTCTCTGAGATGACTTCTGTTGTGACCTAGGGTTATACAAGAATAAATTGTATTGTAAATTGTATTGTATTGTGATCAGGCTCAGAGGTGATGTGTCCAGTCCTCTGCGCTCCTCCTTTCCACTGGTCTGTCACCTGCGAGGCAACAGTGGCATTTCCCCAAATAAAGGCCGCAGCAGGACGTGGCGTGTGTCCGCGGTCGTTAAAGAACTGAAGGATTAGTGAAGCAGTGAAGCAGAGAAACACAGTGGCCTTTGTTTCAGTCTCGCTCTCTCGGCTCAGTCCCTTCATCCTCTCAAACACAAACACAAACACAAACTCTCTGTACCACACACTGTGCTTCTGCATTTAACTTAAATGCAGTATTTATTTTTATTCTTATCATTATCAATATAAGGCTCCTCTCAAGCCCGGTGCAGAGGGTCTGTTTTTGGACCAGTCTAGTTTAGTCGCTGTGGACTTTTGAATGTTGTTAAATAAAAGGGCTCTTGCAGCTGGCCCCATTCATTCACATTTTCCTGTTGGCCACAGTCAAATCTGGACATCAGTGTCTCGCTCACTATGACCCACTGTGTGTTCCTGTGTTTGGGCTGTTTCTCTGATCTGTTGTTGAGGAATCAAGAACTTTGCAAAGCCCTCAGAGAGAACTGCAGTTGTGATTGAAGTCTATATAAAATGGTCGTCTGTGTTTCAGTGAGTCTCTAAAGCAGATCTGAAGCTGAGTCAGAGTCCAACACGAGCAGAAGGTTAGAAATACAATCTACAGTTTGGAGAGAAAAGCACCTCTTCAATGGAATTTATCACAAAAACAATATTATACCGTTTCAAAAACCCTCAGATCTGACTTTTGCTCCCACTCCAACGAAACTTCACTTTTTCCCAGCGTTTGTACAAAACCAGGTGTGACAGGAGGCACCAGCAGGGGGAGCACAAACACCAGGGGGTCTTGGTGGTCCACAGTTTTTTAAAACTTTAATTTTTTTTGTTCAAGATGCAAAAATAACAAAGTGCAAATGCAATAAAGTGGTGCAGCTCGTCCAGCAGCAGACCCCGAGTGAGAGTATGAGGCTCTTTAAAGACCCTCCCTCGAAATTGGATAGAACCATAACATTTCTATCCAAAATCTTTATCAAACCTATTCTACAACTCTCCAATAAAACCCCTGACCATAGTATGCAGAAATATAAAAACCCTGCTGTACACAACCCCTGAAGGGGGGATGGGGATGTGGAAGGGGAGGGGGATGGGGAAGGGGGTTTGGATGGGGAAGGGGAAGGCCCTCCAGGAGCAGATCATGACAACCACCCAACTTAATAAACCAAGACCTAAAACCCGTTTAAACCCGTTTAAACCCTGCAGTCCCAGTAACCTCCCCCCAATGTGTGCAATGTTTTTATAAAAAATTAAAAGTACAGTTTGCCTAAAAGTGCTGGTGAAAAATAAAGTGCAGGCGTGTATAAAGTGTGTGTGGGTAACGTAACGACCGGTTTGTTCGGCCGGGCCTGATCCGGTCTCGTCTGGACTGTTTCTCTGCAGCAGCTGAGAAGAAAGCATCAGACACACAACAGCAATTTATGAAAAATTAAAAATATTCTAAATATATCCCAGTGCAGCCGGAGCCGAAGATCCCAGTGCGATTATGGATGCAGCCGGAGAGGAAGATCCCAGTGCGATTATGGATGCAGCCGGAGAGGAAGATCCCAGTGCGATTATGGATGTAGCCAGAGAGGAAGATCCCAGTGCGAATATGGATGCAGCCAGAGAGGAAGATCCCAGTGCGATTATGGATGCAGCCAGAGAGGAAGATCCCAGTGCGATTATGGATGCAGCCAGAGAGGAAGATCCCAGTGCGATTATGGATGCAGCCGGAGAGGAAGATCCCAGTGCGATTATGGATGCAGCCAGAGAGGAAGATCCCAGTGCGATTATGGATGTAGCCAGAGAGGAAGATCCCAGTGCGAATATGGATGTAGCCAGAGAGGAAGATCCCAGTGCGAATATGGATGCAGCCAGAGAGGAAGATCCCAGTGCGATTATGGATGCAGCCAGAGAGGAAGATCCCAGTGCGATTATGGATGCAGCCAGAGAGGAAGATCCCAGTGCGATTATGGATGCAGCCGGAGAGGAAGATCCCAGTGCGATTATGGATGCAGCCGGAGAGGAAGATCCCAGTGCGATTATGGATGCAGCCGGAGAGGAAGCTCCCAGTGCGATTATGGATGCAGCCAGAGAGGATCCAGGACCGAGATCCAGGACAATGGCTCCGCTGCAGTTTCTTCCTGACAGTGCTCTGGAGATTCCTCGGAGAAAAGAAAAGAAGCATAATAACAGTGGAACAGTGGACATGGCACAAGGACCAGGGGGAGATTTCTTTTTTTTTATAGGATGGCAGAGGATGGAGGACACTGATTGGCTTCTGTCCAAGTCCATTCTCTTCCCTAAATCTGGGACAAACTTTTAAACCATAAAACATGAAATCCTGTCGTTTTTCTGTAAAAAAAATGGTTGAAATAAAGATCTTCATGAATGGATCAATAAAACTCTGTCATCAATCTAACAAAAAGTGGCTCTGGAAATACAGTGGTTCTAACACTAGAAACACACACACACACACACACGCACACACTGACACACACACACACACACACACACACACACACAGACACACACACAGTTGTGTATTCAGATGTGTTTCTTGCTCAGCATCTTCTTCTTCCATTACGGTGGTGCTGCCGCTGCAGCCAATCATCTGTTTACTCCGACACAGAGTTAGGAACGAAGAGCCGCATCAGAAACGCTCTTCACTGTCGTCAGAGACTGAGCTGAGGCAGAACTACTGCTGTAAAGTAGAGGAAACAACACTTTTACAGGCTTTGAAATCGTTAAGATGACGTTTTATTATTAGTTCATGACTAATCATCATCTGCCATGTGACTATTGTAGTAACATTCTCTTTGTATTTGAAATGTATTTTATTATGTAAAATTATCTTTTTAATGTTACTGTCCTTAAAGGTGCTCTGTGTAACGTTTACAGCTGCTCCAAACGATAAAACATATGAACCAATCACAAATAAGACCTTTATAAGAATATCTACCTCCACCATGTTTTTAATTGTTGTTATAGACTCAGAATGTGACGTCTGAATGTCCATGAGGCGGAGGACTCTCTGTGGCTCCATCTTTAAATACCGAGGCTGATGAGGGACAAAAGGACCTTTGGAGAGATTCTTTTCTCAAACTAAAGGATCCAGTTCTTGGACCCGGTTGGAATGAGCTAGACCTGGGGACCTCTGTCATTGACCACGTATTGTCCTTCGAAGCCATTTTGATTTAAAAACTACACAGTGTACCTTTAATAAACTAAGGAAGTATTTCATGTTTATTTATATAGCACCTTTCTCAGACCAGAGTCAAAGCGGTTTACAGTTGTTACATTAGTCTCTCTCTCCACACAGAGATGGGAGGGGCCAGTACAGGAGGCATAGACCTATTGTGCATGTTTTTAGTGGTAGGGGAAACCGGAGCACCTGGAGGAAACCTACGCAGACACGGGGAGAACATGCAAACTCCACTCAGAAAGACCCTGTTCCAACCAGGATTTGAACCTTCTTGCTGAGAAGCAAGAGTGCTAACCACTCAGCCACCGTGCCGTCAAACTTCACACTTGACCAATGAGCTTCATTGTCTGAGAACCTGCATCTTGCCTCAGTCACGTTTCAGGAACAGACACAAATGCCCATATAAGGACATCTTCCTCTCCATTATGTGACATCACAGTCCTGACACACAGGGCTTTGAATGAAGGATTTATTTCTGTATTTGCAGTTTTCCATTACAGTTGGCCTTCAGTACGAGTAGAGTTTAACATGATTGATTTTAGTGATAAATAAATGGATGGAGAGTGTCCTATAGAATCACCATGACCCACATATAGAATGTGAATATATTATAGTTTTAATGACTTTCCATTTCTCAAGGACTTATGGAGAGTTCTTTAGTGTCTGACTGATGCAGACCGACAGCTGTGGAAATGTCTTTTAAACATAACAGAAACACACGGAGGAAAGTGCAGAGACTTAAAGACAGAGATGTTGGACCCGTTCTATTGAAACGTGTCAGAACTTTTAAACAACTCAAACAACGTCATGGGGTGGCAGTCAGAGCTGCACCCAGTCCCAGAGCACCAGCCCCTCCCTGATCCTCCTGCAGGAGCTGAGTCCACAGGAGCAGAGTCCACAGGAGCAGAGTCCACAGGAGCAGAGATCCCACGGACACAACCACAGCAGACATCAGCGGGAAAAAGGATGTAGGTCTCGAACCCATGACCTTCAGGTCCAAAGGCCAATGCTCCCCCAACTAACTAATTGTTTTATAATCTATAATATTATATATATATATATATATATATATATATATATATATATATATATATATATATATATATATATATATATATATATATATATATATATATATATATTGAACCCTCAAGCTCCCAGGCCTCTGGTAGAGGACCCGATCTTAGAGAGGGATAACCGCCCACGGAGGGCCAAAGGTGAGTGGACAATTTTTTTTATATATAAATATATGAATACAGATGTATGTATTTTCTCCTGTGGTGTAGATCCAGATCCTCCTGTCTCCGTCACAGATGTATTTCAGATCAGGTCAAATGTTAATCCTTCACATTCACCACGACTCTCCTGCCTCACTCTGGATTAAGCATGTTCCACATTACGCACCAGTATCTGCACATGCAAATTCATATACACATGTACATACACATGTACACACACATGTACATACACATGTACACACACGGGCCCTGGTCTGTATAATGTGCTATATACAGTAAATAAACTTACTACATGTTTGGCTGTGTGTGTGAAGATGTTTGATTCTACAGTCAGACCATCTTCTCTCAAACCTCACACAAAACCATCTGACGTTGTTATTGTTGTTGTTGTTGTTGTTCCAGGCTCGGAACAAAGCATTTAACCTGAAACGATCCCAAACAACAGCATCTCGAGCACCGACATCACGTATGATCTGGACACGTGAGTGCTCCATGACTTTACTTTGTGCAGCCCGATCCCGTGTTCTCCGGCGTCGCTGTAATCCGCTCTCTTGAAGCGGCTCTCGGGAAGCGGCTCTTGAGGAGCGGCTCTCGGGAAGCGGCTCTCGGGAAGCGGCTCTCGTGGAGCGGCTCTCGAAGCGGCTCTCGGGAAGCGGCTCTCGTGGAGCGGCTCTCGAAGCGGCTCTCGGGAAGCGGCTCTCAAAACGGCTCTCGGGAAGCGGCTCTCGTGGAGCGGCTCTCGAAGCGGCTCTCGGGAAGCGGCTCTCAAAACGGCTCTCGGAAAGCGGCTCTCGTGGAGCGGCTCTCGAAGCGGCTCTCAAAGCGGCTCTCGGGAAGCGGCTCTCGTGGAGCGGCTCTCGAAGCGGCTCTCGGGAAGCGGCTCTCGTGAAGCGGCTCTCGTGAAGTGGCTCTCGGGAAGCGGCTCTCGGGAAGCGGCTCTCGTGAAGTGGCTCTCGGGAAGCGGCTCTCGTGAAGCGGCTCTTGAAGCGGCTCTCGAAGCGGCTCTCGGGAAGCGGCTCTTGGGAAGCGGCTCTCGGGAAGCGGCTCTCGGGAAGCGGCTCTCGGGAAGCGGCTCTCGGGAAGCGGCTCTCAGGAAGCGGCTCTCGTGAAGCGGCTGTGAACCCAAACGCCCGGAGCTAAATCTTCACACAGTTTGAAAAATCCTGTTTGAAATTAGCAGCTCGTTCCCAAAGACAGTTCCAGAGCAGGAGACAAAGCTAATTCAGCTCATTAAGCACGCTCCAAATGAGGTATTGTCTCTCGCAGCTGGAGCGCTCTCAGAGATCGGACGCTTAAAGGAGACATTGGGGAATATTAAGTTTTTTTTAGAACGATTTTTAACATGTTACAGTAAAGTAAAGTATCTACGCTGATCATATCTGGGACTGAAATATGAAGTGGCTCAAAGATGTTCCACTGATGTCACATTACTGTTTTTAAAGTACTCAATGTTTACTAAATCTAAAGGCGGTTTCATTTGTGATGCTTTAGATTAGCCTTCACTGCTAACTGCGCTAACTATATACCCTAACCCTAATGCTAATGTTGATGCTAACCACAACCCAGACGGGAAAGTGTCAGTTAGCAGTTAGTCAGATGAAGAATAAGGACTGATAAGTGCCTAATAAATACCAATTAAAGTGTTCTCTGTTTTCCTTCATCCTTCGTTAACTTGTGCTTGACATTAGCTCAATAAGAAGGATATAAAATAATTAGGATATATAATCATAATGGAAGAATGTGTCACTAATTTGAGGTCAATTCTTCTTAAAATATTCACATTTATTCCATAGACGGTAAATATCAACATCTGTAGTGACGCCTTTCTCCTCCGTTAAAATGTAAGCGCCACAGACATGGGCAGATTCAAAATGGCCGCAGGCAGCCCCTCCCTCGGGAAAATGTGAAAAAACACATTTGTGCGTCAGCTGCATTAGCCTTACTCAGTTAACACTTTTGGACCAAGAACCACTTTTGGACCAAGAACCACTTTTGGACCAAGAACCACTTTTGGACCAAGAACCACTTTTGGACCAAGAACCACTTTTGGACCAAGAGCCACTTTTGGACCAAGAACCACTTTTGGACCAAGAACCACTTTTGGACCAAGAACCACTTTTGGACCAAGAACCACTTTTGAGGACTAAGAGCTTGGTTTAACACCCAACGTTTCATAAATACATGTTTTGCCCCAAAATGTAAAATGTGAAAAAAACAAACATTAGGGCTGCACGATATTGTAAACTAGTGCGATGACTTTCTCCTAAAATGACATCTGCTTTGAAACACAAGAGACAAATCACAGAGAAAAAGCACCACATTAATGACATTCAAATGTATTTATATACTTTACGTTTGTTTGTTGTTCTTGTGTCTGTTTTGTTGTCTTTAATAAAGAAAAAAAATTAGTTATTATTATTATTTTCTTTTTATTGTGATAACGGTATATTTTGGATATATCGTGCAGCCCTACCCAACATGTCATCTTGAAACAGAAAAAAATCTTTGAAACGCTGAGAGCTGATTGGCTTTGAAACGCTGAGAGCTGATTGGCTTTGAAACGCTGAGAGCTGATTGGCTTTGAAACGCTGAGAGCTGATTGGCTTTGAAATGCTGAGAGCTGATTGGCTTTGAAACGCTGAGAGCTGATTGGCTTTGAAACTTGCCTGGCCTGCCAGACACTCCTCCTTTCTGTTCAAAAGAAGAACCGTCTGGACACCTCTTCCTAGCCTATCATTTCACGATTTTACCCACATCGGTCCAATCACGCACCGAGAGGCGGGACTTCCTTTCACCTTTGAGTTGCTAATAACTCCTCGTATCTTTAAGTTTTTTTTACAAAATCGACAGCAGTCGTTTACATTTGCACTAGCTGACATGCCGCCATCCCTTGTTTTGTGTTTACTGAAACGGCTTGGGTGCCGCTAGTTGCTGCGTCATATCCTGTGTGCATCTAATTGGTTGATGCAGTCTGTCAACCACGCCCACCGGGAATTCGCTGAGATCAAGCTCGTTCCCAGACTATATGTCTTTGAAAAAGCATATCGTTTGGCAGGCCAGGCAACTTTGAAACGCTGAGAGCTGATTGGCTTTGAGACGCTGAGAGCTGATTGGCTTTGAAACGCTGAGAGCTGATTGGCTTTGAGACGCTGAAAGCTGATTGGCTTTGAAACGCTGAGAGCTGATTGGCTTTGAAACGCTGAGAGCTGATTGGCTTTGAAACGCTGAGAGCTGATTGGCTTTGAAACGCTGAGAGCTGATTGGCTTTGAAACGCTGAGAGATGATTGGCTTTGAAACGCTGAGAGCTGATTGGCTTTGAAACGCTGAGAGCTGATTGGCTTTGAAACGCTGAGAGCTGATTGGCTTTGAGACGCTGAGAGCTGATTGGCTTTGAAACGCTGAGAGCTGATTGGCTTTGAAACGCTGAGAAATGATTGGCTTTGAAACGCTGAGAGCTGATTGGCTTTGAAACGCTGAGAGCTGATTGGCTTTGAAACGCTGAGAGCTGATTGGCTTTGAAACGCTGAGAGCTGATTGGCTTTGAGACGCTGAGAGCTGATTGGCTTTGAGACGCTGAGAGCTGATTGGCTGACTCAGGACTGGTCCGTCCCTGCAGAAACAAGTGAACAGAAAATCAGTTTTGAGTGATTTCCAAACGTGGTTTCACAGTGAGCCGTTCCCATGACGACACAATCATGTTTGTTTGTCGTTGGCTCAGACCAGCCATTCCCAAACTCAGTAACACCGAGGCCCCCTTAAAAATCTGACGGGTCTGCGTGGCCCCCCAAAATAATAACCAAGAAGACAACATTAAGAATAGGCTCTTCTGGTTATTTTATTTTGGGGAAATAGCCTCTGCTACAAACATTGTAATACAAAAATTATTACAGTGGATTATTCAAGTCAAATAATGAACACAAATATTTTAATATTACAAACAAAACATTATACATTTAACATTAAATAATTATATATATATATATATATATATTTTTTTTTTTTTATGACCTCCCGCGGCCCCCCTGCAGTACCCTCGCGGCCCACCAGGGGGCCGCGGACCCCACTTTGGGAGACACTGGCTCAGACGATCACAAACAGAATCCGCAGAATAAAAACCTCTTGTTGCTTCTCCTCAGGACGGAGCCGGAGCCGAGCGGTTTAGACGACACTAATTCTTCTCATTAAGTGTTCTCCTGATTGGGTTTTTGTGTGAGCGCTGCTGGAGATGGGCTCTCGCTGCATCTGAGGCCAAGTCATCACTTTGGAACATTTAGTCTGTTTTTATGCCCGCAGCCTGTCCCCGATAATGAACCTCTGTCGGAAATGAAATGAGAAAAAAGTTTGGGTAAATTCTAAAGGTTAAAAGACACACGATAATAGAAGCCTCCGGGTTTATGCACTCGGTCATGTGACCACAGAGTTTCTCTGTTTCCAGGGAATAACATCGGTTTTAAATAGAAATGTGGGTTTTTGGACATTTCTGTTTTGTCTGAGGATGCTGTCAGAAGCTAAGCAGGAAAGGGGCTGGTTAGAGCTTTGATGGGAGTCCGCAGGGATCAATAGAACGGCCTATTTTTAGAAAACAGTTCAAACCTGCTCCTCCTGTAATTTCCTTCGGGATTAATAAAGTTTATTCTTTTCATTTGTGTGACAAGACGACGATTATTTGAAATGAGTCTGGTGTGAGAATGGTTGGTGGTGGTGGGAGGGGCTTCTGTCAGTGTGCCCCAGGGCAGCTGTGGCTACAGTAGTTTATCACCACCGTGTTTGGAGAGAGAGGATACTGACGTGAAGAGACTTTGAGCGTCTGAAAAGCGCTGAATAAAACCGATTTATTATTATTATTATTATTATTATTATGAATATGTCTGTAATGGCTTTGTGTCTTGTGTAACCTCTGCAGTCGCCTGTAAACGTATGAGAGAAACTCTGTTATAACATTAGTGTTTTATGAATTCCTTATTTCATGTTTTGTGTTGTTTTCTTTCCCATTTCCAGCGTCTCTGATTGGATTATCGCCGCGTGAATAAAAGATGAAGAAATACATTCTTCTGATCTCACCATTCCACCACAGCAATAATCCCAGGTTTACTCACTACAACCCTCGTATTTTTTATTTATTCATTTATTTGACAGGGACAATGTAGTCATACATAGTTACATTATGAAAATGCAGCTGATGCGACACATACAGAGTGTATAGCTAATGCTAATGCTAATGTTCTCTCCTGTCCCTGGTTGAGCTTTTCCCCACAGTGCAACACATTATACAGAATGAATAAAATAGGCCTAGCCCTAAAACACATATTTACAACAGTGATCTAAAATTAAGACATTCCCCCAACCAATAACAGCCATATGGACAAAATATTCACAAACGAGAACACTCACTCACACACACACGTACACACACACTCACACACACACACACACACACACTAAATACTGTTTACAGGTTTAGAAATGGGTGCATGATTGGTTTGTTTTCAGCCACAGCTTGAGCTTTGAGGTGAACTCCTTGAATTCTAATATGTTTTTTAGTTCAGTGGGCAGCGAGTTCCACAGTTTGGCCGTTTTTATGTACTGTTCATGATTCAAACATTCATGTGTGCATATATATATATATATATATATATAAGTTGTGCTATATAACTAAACATGACTGACTACGTTACTCCACCAAAGCAGTAACTTCTCTTAAAGGAATAGTTCACCGTTTTTACATACTGACATATGTTCTTACCTTACCTTAGACTAGTTAATATGTACCTGTCTGGTCTTAGTCCGTGCGCTCTGTCATGCAAACGGAGCAAAAACGGGAGCACAAACGCAGCCACACTATATTGTGAGGCGTAGTAATCTGAGGAGCGCTACGTCCGCGCACTAACTTCTCTCCGGAGACTTCTCTCTCGCTCACTTCCTTCAATAGAAGCAGCGTGACTCCTCAGATTACTACGCCTCACAATATAGTACCCGTTTTATCCGCTGAGAAAATCGACTGTTACATTTCTGTGTTACTATACTTTGCAGTGTAACACTTCACGTAACTATATACATTTAATAGGGAACACTTGGAAGAGTTTGGTAGCTTCTAGCGGGAGCTACCTT